ACCAAGCAGCAGCAGCAACGGACCACCAAGCAGCTGCAGCAGCAGCAAACCATCAAGCATCTGCAGTCTACCACCAAGCAGCTGCAGCAAACCACAAAGGAGCAGCAGCAGCAGCAGCAGACCACCAAGCAGCAGCAGCAGCAGCCGCGCAGACCACCCAGCGCCAGCAGCAGCAGCAGCAGACCACCCAGCGCCAGCAGCAGCAGCAGCAGCAAACCAAGATTTTGATGCTAGGCATGAGATACCTCCAAATCAGTTCAACACGAGTTCAAAAGGTGGCCCTCGTTTTGCGCCACTTTCGCGCCGAATTCTATTCTACATGGCCACCTCAAAATAGCAGCAGCAGCAGCAGCAGCAGCATACCACCCAGCGCCGCAGCAGCAGCAGCAGCAGCAGACCCAGCAGCAGTAGCAGCAGCAGCAGACCACCCAGCGCCAGCAGCAGCAGCCGCAGCAGCCCACCCAGCGCAGCAGCAGCAGCAGCAACAAACCACCAAGCAGCAGCAACCACCCAGCAGCTGCAGCAGAACACCAAGCAGCCAGCAGCAGCAGCAGCAGCAGACCAGCCAGCGGCAGACCACCCAGCAGCAGCAGACCAGCAGGCGAGCACGTGAGGCCATAGTGTTGCAAATGCTGGGCCAATATTGGCACGAAAAGGGGTATATTTAACACCTTTTTGGGTGCAATGTGCAGGCGGCATTTCTTGGATCATAGCCTTACCCCTCGTACACCACTAGTTCCGATGTGGAGTCAGGTAGCGTCATTTGGCTTTTGTGCACTCGGACTATCGGCACTCAAAGGTTGACAAAACTGCTTTAGAGCGCACGTGGAGTCCAAGTGCTCCCACAGTGCATAGCCGGAGGGAATGAGCCGCCCACCGAGTAGCAGCTACAGCAGCAGCAGCCCACCCCGCAGCAGCAGCAGCAGCAGACGAGCACACCAGGCGGCAGCAGCAGCAGCAGGAGCAAACGAGCACACCAGGCAGCAGCACCTACAGCAGCTAATTTGTTTCCACCCGCTCACCGCGCGCAGGGGGGAGTTGAACCTCCGGTCCGGAGGGGGGGGTCCATAAGATTGTCCACCCCGTCATTTAACTTGCTAAAGCAAGAGCAAAAAGCAAGAGCAACTTCAGCTAGCTAAGGCTAGCTTTCGTGATAACACACGGACGCAGCTGGTGAACTGACCTTGCTCTTCAAAACCGACTTGGCGTAGGGACTTGGTTTTAATTTTGCCTGCGAGTATCGGCCCTTAATTGCTGACAAGGATGCAATGAGGGACCAGGTTGGCATCGTCGCATTCACCAATACAATGCGAGGAACCTTTCAATTTTAGTTGGTTGCGCAAGCCTAGTAACAAATGCGCAAACGTAGCGTCTCAGAAGAGCCTTGTGCTTTGCTGCTGATTGCAGTATATTGATATTTGTAATGCCGTTGAACCTGCCAACCCAATAATCACTCTCTTGACAGAATATGAAACAACGGGATGTAAAGTGGGCCAGCTGCCAGCCTCATGGCTCTCTCCTTGTCTCGAACCCACGGAGGTTCACCAATTGCAATCCTCACTTGAGATTGTCTGTTTCGTCTTGGACAAAAACTTGTCAATGTCAATGTGTCACAAGTCCTCTTCCAAGGTAGGTCAACACAACAGTGTATATACTGATGTTACTCCCAACCCTGCCGATCGCATGGTGTACCAGTGTACCCAGCCAAGAAACACCACTGCCCGCGCTCCAGGCAACAAAGAGTCAAAGGTCTCGGGCTTCAATGCATCAATGCCACCAATCTCCTGAACATGGCTAGTTTGACAGCAACATGTGCAATGTTGAGAAGATGCCCGCCCCATGTTCACCTTTTTCCCGAAAGCATTGCGAAGGGTTCTTCCGGAAAATCCCTTGAACAATGACACTTCGACACTTACACTTACACACTGACACTTCCACACTTGCACTTGAACACTGACATTTCGACACGTACACTTGAACGCTTACGCTTTCACACTTACACTTGAACATGAACATGAACACTTACACTTCTATACGTACCCCAGTGTAAGTGGAAGAGTGAAAGCATCCAACGGCAAGTATCCAAGTGCAAAAAGAAAGTATCCAAGTGCAAAAGGACGCAAGTGTAATGAGTATGCAATGAGTATGCATGTATGGAAAACTTGCACGGGAGATGTCCTAATGAAAAACATCTCCCCACTTTATAAATTCTCTCTTAAAGGCGGAGGGTGGGACGAACAGCGTCAACCGAAAATGCAACCCTCTGCGGAGATCGTAAAGGTCGAGTGCGCGAAATGCAGGCGAGAGTGCGATTTGGGCCTGTGCGCGCAACCCTCTGCGGAGATCGTGCGTGTCAAGTGTGCGAAATGCAGGCGAGAGGGCGCTATATGAAATTACCGCGCAACCCTCTGCGGAGATCGTGCGTGTCGAGCGCGCGAAACGCAGGCCAGAGGGCGATTTGTGAAATTACCGCGCAACCCTCTGCGGAGATCGTGCGTGTCGTGTGCGCGAAATGCAGGCGAGCGTGCGATTGGGTCTGTGCGCGCGCAACCCTCTGCGGAGATCGTGCGTGTCGAGTGCGCGAAATGCAGGCGAGAGTGCGATTGGGTCTGTGCGCGCGCAACCCTCTGCGGAGATCGTGCGCGTCGTGTGCGCGAAATGCAGGCGAGAGTGCGATTTGACCTGTTCCCGCGCAAGCCTCTACGGAGATCGTGCCCGTCGTGTGCGCGAAACGCAGGCGAGAGTGCGATTTGGCCCGTGCCCGGGCAACCCTCTGCGGAGATCATGCGTGTCGAGTGCGCGAAATGCAGGCGAGAGTGCGATTTGGCCCGCGCCCGCGCAACCCTGCGGAGATCGCGCGCGTCGAGTATCTGGGGAGCTGGAAGATGAGAACTGGCGACTTTGTAGTACAACTTTAGTACGCGGAGCAATCTGTGGAGCTGGAAGCTGAGAACTGGCGACTTTGTAGTACAACTTTAGTACGCGGAGTATCTGGGGAGCTGGAAGATGAGAACTGGCGACTTTGTAGTGCAACTTTAGTACGCGGAGCAATCTGTGGAGCTGGAAGCTGAGAACTGGCGACTTTGTAGTACAACTTGAGCACGCGGAGTCTCTGGAGAGCTGGAAGATGAGAACTGGCGACTTTGTAGTACAACTTTAGTACACGGAGCAATCTGTGGAGCTGGAAGCTGAGAACTGGCGACTTTGTAGTACAACTTTAGTACGCGGAGTATCTGGGGAGCTGGAAGATGAGAACTGGCGACTTTGTAGTACAACTTTAGTTCTACAAAGATCCAAAGGCCTTGACATCCAGACAGATCTAGTGTAAAGGTGTAGAGTCTAGAGACCCACAAAATCTTGCAGAGGTTCAGATCCAGCTCTTCCAAAATTGTACTGGCGTGCTAGAATGGAATGGCTTTCTGCCCTCTAACCTTTACTACTGTACATTCGGGTGGCTCACAGAAGGGCGGCGCCGCAGCCACGCACACGGATTCAACTCAACTGCGCACACACATTTTATCGGCACTTGTGCCTCATCTGCGCACACACTTGTTAACTCAGCGTGCGCACACCCCACCATGGGGAGTCAAGTGCGCACACAGGCCCTTTCCCGAATGTTGCTGCGTATTCCAGATTTTACCCTGCGTTGCTCACTTAAAAGGGTAGTCAACTTGGAATAGCCACTTCCTTGTCTATTTTTTACTCTCCAGTGGCTCACCAAGGGGTGAGTCAACTTGGAATGAGCACTTCCTTCTCTAAATTTTACCCCTGCATTGCCCACAAAGGGTGAGTCAAGTTGAAATGGCAACATCCTTCTCTAAATTTTACCCTTGGGTGGCTCACCAAAGGGTGAGTCAACTTGGAAGGGCAACATCCTTCTCTAAATTTTGTCCCCTGCATGGCCCACAAAAGGGTGAGTCAAGTTGAAATGGCAACATCCTTCTCTAAATTTTACCCCTGCATGGCCCACAAAAGGGTGAGTCAACTTGGAATGGCCACTTCCCTCTCTAAATTTTACCCTCCAGTGGCTCACCAAAGGGTGAGTCAACTTGGAATGAGCACTTCCTTCTCTAAAATTTACCCCTGCGTTGCCCACAAAAGGGGTGAGTCAAGTTGAAATGGCAACATCCTTCTCTAAACTTTACCCTCGGGTGGCTCACCAAAGGGTGCGTCAACTTGGAAGGGCAACATCCTTCTCTAAATTTTTTCCCCTGCATGGCCCACAAAAGGGTGAGTCAAGTTGAAATGGCAACATCCTTCTCTAAATTTTAGCCCTGCATGGCCCACAAAAGGGTGAGTCAACTTGGCCTGGCCGCTTCCCTCTCTAAATTTCACCCCTGCATTGGCCACAAAAGGGTGAATCAAGTTGGAGTGACCACTTCCTTCTCAAAATTTTACCCTGTGCACAAAAGGGTGAGTCAAGTTGAAATGGCAACATCCTTCTCCAAATTTTAGCCTCGGGTGGCGCAACAAAGGGTGAGTCAACTTGCAGCTTTCCTGGCCACTGCAGGCAGCACAGGTCCGTAAGCTGGACATCCAAAGGCCTTGACATCCAGACAGATCTGGAGTGTAGAGGTGTAGAGTCTAGAGACCCACAAAATCTTGCAGAGGTTCAGATCCAGAGACCAAGGGAACAGAGGACCAAAGGACCAGGGGTCTTACGGCCGCCTCACCTCTTCAAAATTTTACTGCCGTGCTAGAATGGAATGGCTTTCTGCGCTCTAAACGTTACTACTGTACATTCGGGTGGCTCACAGAAGGGCGGCGCCGCATATTTTATCAGCACTTGTGCCTCATCTGCGCACACACTTGTTGACTCAGCGTGCGCACACACCATCGGGGGGAATCAAGTGCGCACACAGGCCCTTTCCCGAATGAATGTTGCTGCGTATTCCAAATTTCACCCCTGCATTGCTCACTTAAAAGGGTAGTCAACTTGGAATGGCCACTTCCTTCTCTTTTTTTCCCTCCAGTGGCTCAACAAGGGGTGAGTCAACTTGGAATGAGCACTTCCTTCTCTAAATTTTACCCCTGCATTGCCCACAAAGGGTGAGTCAAGTTGAAATGGCAACATCCTTCTCTAAATTTTACCCTTGGGTGGCTCACCAAAGGGTGAGTCAACTTGGAAGGGCAACATCCTTCTCTAAATTTTGTCTCCTGCATGGCCCACAAAAGGGTGAGTCAAGTTGAAATGGTAACATCCTTCTCTAAATTTTACCCCTGCATGGCCCACAAAAGGGTGAGTCAACTTGGCGTGGCCACTTCCCTCTCTAAATTTTACGCTCCAGTGGCTCACCAAAGGGTGAGTCAACTTGGAATGACCACTTCCTTTTCTAAACTTTACCCTGCCCACAAAAGGGTGAGTCAAGTTGAAATGGCAACTTCTTTTCACAATTTTACCCTCGGGTGGCTCACCAAAGGGTGAGTCAACTTGGAAGGGCAACATCCTTCTCTAAATTTTACCACCGAATGGCCCACAAAAGGGTGAGTCAAGTTGAAATGGCAACATCCTTCTCTAAAGTTTACCCCTGCGTGGCCCACAAAAGGGTGGGTCAACTCGGCATGGCCGCTTCCCTCTCTAAATTTTACCTCTGCATTGGCCACAAAAGGATGAGTCAAGTTGGAGTGACCACTTCCTTCTCAAAATTTTACCCTGTGCGCAAAAGGGTGAGTCAAGTTGAAATGGCAACATCCTTCTCCAAATTTTACCCTCGGGTGGCGCAACAAAGGGTGAGTCAACTTGCAGCTTTCCTGGCCACTGCAGGCAGCACAGGTCCGTAAGCTGGCTCGCTGAGTAGCTGGCCAAATGGGGGATAGAACAGGAGTTCAAAAGTGGTCCTTGTGGTTGTGTGTGTTTTTCGGGAGATGCATCAAAAAATGCATTAACATAGAATTCATGACAACACTTGCCATTGCAGGCAGCACAGCTCCGCAAGCTGGCCACCTACAAAAGCCATCGAAAACCAAAGGCAAAAGCCACCAAAACCCAAGAGCCACCGAAAGCGAACCTTCCTTCCTGCCCTGCTGCCTTTCTTCCTTCCATCCATCCTTCCTTGCTTCCTTGCTTCCTTCCTTCCTTGCTTCCTTCCTTCCTTCCTTCCTTCCGTTTGCTTCCTTCCTTCCTTCCTTCCTTCCGTCCGCTTCCTTCCTTCCTTCCGTCCGCTTCCTTCCTTCCTTCCTTCCTTCCTTCCGTCCGCTTCCTTCCGTCCGCTTCCTTCCTTCCTTCCTTCCTTCCTTCCTTCCTTCCTTCCTTGTCTTCCTTGCCTTCCTTGCCTTCTTGCCGTTCTTTGTTTCTTTTCTTTATTTTTTTATTGATGCATTTTTGTTTTTTCTTGATGCATTTATATGTTTTTATTGATGCATTTATATTTCTTTTTTGATGCGTCTCCCCTCCAGCTGAGTCATGTCTCCCGACCACCCGGCTCTCTTGAGAGGTTAACACACACACACACAGAGACCTACGCACTGCCTCAACTTACTCGGATACACACACAGACAGAGACTCATACACACACAGACATAGATACACACACAGAGACCCACACACTACCTCAACTCACTCGACTTAAACACTTCACACTGATACACTTAACAGATAACTCACACTCTGACTTCCTACGTGATGAAAAATGCTTTCGGGCCACTCGTCGTCTAGTTCACCTTTCCCAACTTTTCAACACACGCAGGCTAAAGGTCACCAAGACCATGAAAAATGTTGTTTCTCTCATTTGTTTTGTGGTTTGCTCTTTCTGCCCGAAAGCAAAAAGAGCATGTCCGGATATCTTGTATCCCTACATGCGCAAAAGCGTCAAGATCATGAAGCAAAGCTCTTGCATGCAGCGAGCATCTTTTTCAAACAAGAGTCAAAAAAGCTACATCATAATCGTGACTGGCACGTCGTCACCACAACCCTAAACCTGTCAAGTATCGGCTAGGCATGTGACATGTATGAATATACATGGTACCCCTCCAAAACTCACCTTGGATTGCAAAGACCAAGAAACCTTCAAGGTAAGACGCGGCAACGGTGTCGCACCGCTTCATGCGATGATCACTTGAACCAAAGTAATTACAAAGATTAGACATCAAATGTGAACCTAACAGAAAGGAAGGTAATGAAGTCATGAATTCCCCATAAACTTCAAGTTTAAAGACTAAATTACGATTTCCATGTGTAAAAGAACGCATATTACTCATGGGTTTTTGTTCTACCCGTCGTCCATTAGTTCTTTTTGTTCCCAAAAGCAAAGCAACGAAAACTGCAGCTAAAGGGAATTGTGGGTTGCAGCCACATCAAAGATGCTTGTTGGTTTTCCTGTTTCTTCTTCGCTTTTCTTTCTTTCGTTCCTCCAAAAACCGAGAAGAAAACAACTCGTCTTCTTAGTTTTCTTAGTTGCGCGCTTTTGGGCAATTCAAGATTGCACAGTCTATCTCGAAATTTGTCTTGCCACAGAACTTGTCACTTGTCCTCCACACCACTAGGTTCTTTGGGCTGTGAACGGCCCAGGCTCGCAGCTGGAAGTCCTTCGTTGCAACCACAACCTCGATACGAGAGACATACAATGACAGCATACGATGGGTCCAAACTGCTCTTACTTGTTTATCCATGACTAGAACAAATGCTTTGCGTTTGGACTACATTTCTTGGATATGGAAAGGGGCTCCAGAAATGCTGGAGTCCATTGACGGTCTGGACTCATTTTCAGGATCAGCATCTAGTTCAATAGAAAGAAGCAGCCGCCCGAAACATGCAACTAGACTTCGAGGCTCAATTCTGTCCTCGCTTTGCAAGCTCTCTGCAGACTGCCTCAGGCATAGTTTCTGCTCATGCTCGCCATTGTAAACCCAAACGAACGCATACTAAATCCAATATATGTGTCATGTGTCAGCGAGACTCGCGATTTCGGAGATTGGCAGCTCAGCAATCCAAATATCAAACTGGGCAACGCGATGTGGGAATATGTATTGACACCATGCATTGTAAAGTAATGCAATGTAAGTCATGTGATGCATCCATGTCTACGTGCATATGCATCAGCATGGTCAGCATGAAAGCCAGGAGTTGGTACTGCACCCACAAAGCCGCGGCCACCGAAGACCAAGGTTCGACTCATGGCGCAGCTTGGCGTAGCTTTGCAGAGATTTGTTGCGTGTTGCTTTGCATGGCTTTGCGCGTTTGGTGTAAACCCAGCCAGACTGGAGTAGACATGGGAAGTCAGCTTGTCAAGGATCAAGGCAGTGCTTGCTGCAGTATGTTTGATGTCTGCAAGCTGACCTGTTGCATGAGTGTTTCTCCGCACTCTCAAACTATCTTTACTGCCTTTCTGAACCACTGCACTAGCTTGAGATGAAAAACCTTGGTACAGCTCTAGCCTTGAATCATGAAAACACTCTGAATCTGATCCTCAGCAAACACACAAGATGCAAACTTGACGCAAGGAAAAGCGCTGAGTGAAGACTTTGCCTAGGGCCTAGGGATCAAACTTGCTGTGATTGTGTGGGACCGGCTCAGCAACGACCTCCTGTCAGTGAGTACAAGTTCGTTCGAGCAAAGAGCCGAGTGAACCATGATTGATGTTGTTCTGGTTTCTCGAAGAAATCTGATGTCGAGGCCGAGGCCCCATATTTCACTCAATGTCAATCACAATCCAGACCTCTGCAGGCACTGCATATAGTGGTGACGCTGCCCGACAGCGAGCCATGTTGGCCTCATGAAAAGTGATTGCGAGTTCAAATACCCTAACTCTGGTAGTTTGACGTCCTCTCTGTCAACTTGCAAAAGGGCCCTTTGCTATCGTTTCCGAACTTTATGGCACACCGGCTTGCTTGCGGCGGATGCCTTTCATGCTGAGGACAATGCAATCAAACGGCAGGCGACCATCGAATACATGACCTCACAGAATGCCAAACACACATGACGCAGCGTAGACATGTGATTTGTTCCAAGAAAAACAATGCAGCGTCAAAGGACCTATACTTTCTCATGCATCCATCGATCAAGACTAGCAGCTCAATAATGACACTTCTTTTCCCACTTGTAAGTTGCGGGGTGAGCCCTTCCCTTTGTATGACTTCCAAGGAATCTTGCAACAATGACTGGCTGAATGAATGATTGAATGAATGAAAGACAGAAGGACGGACGGACCGAACGAAAGAACGAACGAACGACCGAATGAATAAATTCTTGAATGGATCAAGCTGAGCTGAATTAAGCAAATATACAGTAACTGAATTCAATTGAACCGACTAAATTGCAGGCATGCAGGCATGCAGGCATGCAGGAAGGAAGGAAGGAAGGACGGAAGGACGGAAGGAAGGACGGAAGGAAGGAATGAAGGAACAATAAACGAACGAACAAAGCAAGAAACGAACCAACGAACAAAGAAACAAATGAGTGACTAAGCAAGTCTCATCAACAAGCGTCAAATGCGTCAAGGTTTAGGCTCAAGCAGCAAGCGCAATAGTCTCAAGGCTCTTCAAGGCAACGCTGTCCTGAAAATGCTCCATTTCGCTCCGTAAGATAAGAAAGCTGCCGTAAAGCTGTCAAAGCTCTTCAAGCATCATCTTTTCGCTGTCAAATTATTTGCTGGGACCCTCGCAGAGATCCGACGGCATGGCAAGGGGAGGTGGGGCTGCACCGCTGCAGCAAGCAAAAGCAGCAATGCCTACAGCGTACTTTTAAAGATTATTTTTAATCTAGGGACCAATTGAATAGTGCGAGCGCTTCTTCAAGAAAGCCCCCCGCCGCCCTGGGGGAGCTTCCTTGAAGAAGCATGAGCTATCCCGCATCCAGTAGCTAGTACTGAATTAAGTAAGGGTGAGAGCAACTCGGGCGTCAAAAAAATAACTTCAAGAAGGACCAAGGTCTCACGACCTTGCCTGCGCCTGGACGGCAAACCTGCAAATGAGGCTCAGCAGCCTGGACATTTCCACCAGCACCAGCCCAGACTGCCTTCGCATCTCACACTGCGCTGGCCAAATCTTGACCGGGGACTCTCTTTGGAACTATCTAGACGCTGGTCCACTCCAACTGGGCGAGGCGTGGAGTCTCCATCGAACGGCTGAGTACTTGTGCTTCCAAATTGGGTTCTCACCAAACTAAAGTAAAGGCCAATCAAGTGAAATGTTCAACGACCTGTCGTTGGATGATGAACGAGTTCTCTTTACGCATAAGCATCAGTGGCCTGTCTTTTCAGTGTGGCATTAGTATCTGCTTCTTCACTAACTCTGGCCGGACTTGCACTGGCCTTGGCAGCCATGGCGAGCTCGACACAACCAGCAGGGTTGATGCCTCAGGCTTGATGGTTCACTTCAATTCTCAATGTCTTGAAATCGTGCACGAGTGTGGAACCAGAAGAACCAGATACCAAGAGGGACTCCACAGGATAGATGTTGATGTCTTGATCGATGGCCCGGGGTGATCTGTTTCTGTTGATCGGCCATCTGTTCCAGGTGACCTGCGGTGAGGTCGTTGGTGGCAAATTTGAGGTCGGTGAGACCGTTTCAAAATTGTCCATGTGTGACTGTGGCTTCAGTGATCTATCATTATTCGTAATCTGTTCTGCTTGCGAGTGATCTCTGCAGGCTTGTGGTGATCAGTGGTACGGTGCCGCGACTGGACTCGAGAGTCAAGTTTGATGATGCAACGAGACATGGTACACAGCCGGCTTCAGTCCGCAAATTTTAGAGAAGCCAGCAAGCAAGATGTCACAAGCAGTTGCACCCACTAAGTCAAGACGTAGGACCTCTCCCACCAGAAGTATCTTTTGCAAAGGTGCTATGCATGGTGCTGCTGCCCATCCGATTGTAGGGGGCTGCAGCAACACCATCATCCTGGCGCCAGAAGCTCTGAGGACTGGAACCCGTGGACACGGTGGCCTTGTTGCTAACTGCTAGTTGCATCTAGTCGGCCAACCAGCCGCTAGTCTGCTGCTAGGTTGGAGCCCATCGCTCTAAGGTTGGAGGCTATCGCTATTAGTCTGCTGCTAGTGCTAGTTGTCGTTTCCGGTCTGGACAACCATCTACATCATCCAGACTGGCAGGCAACACGACAGTGATACCCTACTGTCTCTGCCATCATAGATGCCAACAATAGGGCCTGCCGAGCTGCGCATGTTCTCACGCAACATGTCTTTCTCTGCTTCCAAAACAGCTAGACAAAAAAGTCATACTTGCTTTTGCACGCTTGTGCTTCAAATGCTTCGTACTGGCAATCCCAACGTTGCACAACTGTCATTGCACAGTAAAGGCCTCTCTCAGAAGCCGTCTAGGACTTGGCAAAGGCCAGGGTTCTGCTGTAGGAAGCCTTGCCACCACAAAACACAGGCCAGGACCAGGATTCTGTGAGGTCTGGCCTTTGCCAAGCCATGTAATTGTAGCACCTCTCCCACCACCTGGCTCATTGATGCTTGTCTCACTTGCTGTACGATGTTTTGGTGGGCACATGTTGTGGGCGATTCATGTGTTTACTCAGCAGCTGGCTCCTCATCGTGGCTAAGCTGATACAGGCCGCGACAGGTGAGAGCAAAGGGCCATGCCTGATACGATATGGAAGTGTATCAGTCTATCTAAGTGAAATCTAGATAGAAGCGTTCGGTTGTTCATTCTGAGACCGATCTGGAGCACGGTAGCTTGGCGATTTTAATGCACTTAGGTTGCAAAACATCGCTCTTAGGTTGGAGGGTCATCGCTCTTAGGTAGTTGGCCATTCTATTTGGGTTCACTTGAAGTCTTTGGCCTCAGCAGGTTCGCTGGCGAGGAAATGCAGGACAGCGCGCAGCAGGTCGTCCAGAAGAACCAAACCTTGTGAAACATTATTTCTGGTATCTCAAGCTGCGAAAATTATATAAGTCTCAAGAGAAATGATATTGGTGGTCACAAGGACTCTGCAAATCTGAATCGCCGCTCCTTTTTCAGGCTGTCTGAGCAAGAAAATCCTAGGCGAAAAAAATGTTTGCTCATCGAAGCCCCTTAAAGAAAGCCTCAATTGGATTTGGAGGCGGAGTCGTTGTTGTAGTCGTCGTTGTGGGATTGAAGAGATCAATGATGAATTGGAATGGGTTCCCACCACCACTGCCTGCGCTCCCTTGGCTAACTGGTGAAGGTGCAGGGGCAGGTACAGGCGCAGGTGCCGGTGCCGGAACAGGAAAGTCAACGCCCACATCCCGGTATCCATTGGGAGTGGTCATCATCTCCCAAGAAGCCTTCTTCACTGCAGCCTTTGACCTTCTCCACTCTTCATATTCAGGAGTGCCACGATCTGCCGCAGTCATCTTGCGCCCATTCATAATGGTAGCAGTTCGCAACTTTTGTTGCGCTGGCTCTCCCACAAAAGCCTCCTCTTCCGGCAAATTGCTGCCCAGGAGAGTTATAGCCAAGACAGTCATGGCCAAACCAACGCACAAGCACGGAAAGAGGGGAAGTCTGCGGCCCATCTTTCAAAGTGTGATGCAAGCTGCCAAGCAAAACTCAGCCTGCTTTCCCCCGGCTTGTGCCAGAACTGAAAACTCATTACAAGAAACAAATGTGCAAACTTCACTCTCCCACATCTATTTAGATAGATAGATAGATAGATAGATATACACCAATGTCTTGATCATGCAGTCATGTGCACTATCGTCTTGAAATGGACAAGCTGTTCTGAATTGAACAAACCAAAACAAATGGGTGGGTTCAACAACTCTTACTGAGGTGGCCAGCCCAAGGCTGCGTGCTGCCCCAATTGCACGTCGCCGCCATCCTTTGGCAACGAACAAAGTGGCAACGCAGGGGGCATATGGGGCTATGAAACGAATAAATGTATCTAATACATATTACGTATCTAAGCTGATGAAAACAATGTGCTTAAACGGTTCTAAAGCATTGACAAACAGTGCAAGCTTTGGAATGAACTCGAGCCGCCAGCAAGCCTTTAGTGCAGCGCGGCACCAACGGTCCCCCACTGGCCGTGGCCCGTTCCTTGCAGGAAGCTACTCAAAGATGAAGATCTATTATATAAATTCCTCAAATAGAACCTAAACACTGCTGTGATAAAGGCACGGCACAATGAAAGAGCCCCTCACCAGAAGAGCATTGCCAGCATAAACACTTTCAGGTCTGCAAAGCCTGCAAAAAACAGTTCAACTGTCTCTCCAAGTTTTTGTTTGCTGT